AACCGGTTAAAACCTCCATAGAAGCCAGTCAGAATCAGTACAAACCGGTCAGAACCGGATCGGACCGGTACGGACGAGAAAATCCGGGAAAAAACAGGAAAAAAACGGATTAAAACTGTAAAAATACGGTTAAAAACCAGTTAGAACCAGTTTGAAACCGGTTAAAACCCTGGGAACGCTGTTGGGGAGAGAAGAAACCGGTCAGAACCGGTTCGGACCAGCACGGACCGGTACAGACCGGTATGAATGATAAAATCCAGGAAAAAAACGGGAAAAAAATGGATTAAACCGGTAAAAATCCAGTTAAAAACGGTTTAAAACCAGTTAGAACCGGTTTGAAATGGGTTAAAACCTCAACAGAAGCCAGTCTGAATCAGTACAAACTGGTTAGAACTGGTTCAGACCAGTACAGACCAGTACGGACCAGTACAAATGAAAAAATCCAGTAAAAAACGGGAAAAAAATGGCTTAAACCAGTTAAAAGTGGTTTAAAACCAGTTAGAAGCAGTTTGAAACCGGTTAAAACCCCGAGAACGCTGCGGGGAAGAGAAGAAACTGGTCAGAACCGGATCGGACCGGTACGGACCAGTACGGACCAGTACGAACGAAAAAATCCAGGAAAAAATGGGAAAACGGGGAAAAAATGGATTAAAACGGTAAAAATCAGTAAAAACGGCTAAAAAATGGTAAAAATGACTGAAACCTGGTAAAACCTGGTAAAACCGGCCCAAAGCAGTCTAGACCAGTATAAACCAGTCCAGACCAGTTACAAACCAGTTACAAACCAGTTTAAAACTAGTTAAAACCAGTAAAGACCACTAAAAAAAGGTAAAAAAGGTTAAAATGACTGAAACTCGGTGAAACGTTGTAAAGCCAATTAAAACCAGTCCAGACCAGTATAAACCAGTCCAGACCAATACAAACCAGTCTAAACCAATTTAAAACCGGTTATAAACCAGCTTAAAACCGGTTTTAAACCAATAAAAACCGGTAAAAAGTGCTAAAAAACGCTAAAAAACGGAAATAATGACTAAAACCCGGTAAAAACCGGTAAAACCCAGTAAAACCAGTCCAAAGCAGTCCAGACCAGTATAAACCAGTATAAACCAGTGGGACTCACCTGCGGGCCCCTCCCCCCAGTGCAGCAGGTAGAGGCAGCAGTGGAATCCCTCATTGCCGGCGCAGAGCGCGAAGAGCAGCGGCTGGGGAGGGAAGGGTTAAAG